ATTTTGAACACACGGAGGAGGATCACATCAGGTCCCAAAGTGAAGGCTGCCCCCATCATTCCATAGCTGCCAAGCTGCTGCGAATCATGGTCCAGCCGAGTGACACGCAGCATCATAGACTCCCTCACGCTCACCTCACAGAAATGAGGAGTGTCAGATAAGAAGGTATTCGACCAGGGAGGAGTAGGTGTACTTGAAGGAACCCTGCTGGTATAGTGGGTTCCTTGTGGGGCTGCTCATCGATGAGCACTTTGAAGCCACCAGCTGCTCCTAGGGAGAAAGATGAGGCTTTCTACTCTCACAGAGTCACAGTCTCAGACACCCACAAAGGCAGTTCTACCCTGTCTTACAGGGTCGCTATGAGTCAGTCATGAGTTTGGTGTGGTTTGGGAGGTGTACTTCATTGAAGAAGAAGAAAGAAAAAGAATGAGAGTAAATATGAGAAAATGATCAGTAACTCATTATGAGTGGTGGGAAGATGTCACCAGGCTGATTAGGCCCCTGGGCTTTCCTGTATCTTTCAGTTCCTTAGAGTAAATGAAGCAGGCAGAGGAGGAGGTGGGGCAGTGGGCCACTGGCGTTTGGGAGACACCTGGAAGCCCTGGTGGCAGAGTGGTCATGTGTTGGCCTGCAGTCTTCAAGGTCAGTAGTCTGAAACCACCAGGCTGGCCGAAGGAGAAAGACCAGGCTTTCTACTCCAATTAAGAGTCATAGTCTCACACGCTGGTGTGCTTCTTCCATGTGGGCTTGCTGCTTCTCTGCTAGATGGCTGCTTGTTCAAACTTCAAGCCTTTAAGACCCCAGATGCTATGTGTTTTGATAGCCTGGCATCATACGCTTTCCTTACATTTACTTATGCATCCATTTTGTCTTCAACAATCAGGCAGGAGGGTGAGCATCACAGAATGCCAGGTTGTTAAAACAAAGTGTTCCTGCCTTGAGGAAGGGCTTGAGCAGAGACCGAAAGTCCATCCACTACCTCAGTGTATTGCCATATAAACATGCGTACATAGGTCAATACCTCTATTTTTATGAATCAATGTATTGACGTGTACACACTTACACTTAGACCTCCAGCCATAGCTTTGCTTCCTAGATCTTCCCTGTTTCCTTTTAGCTTCCTCCTGCTCCACCATCATGCTCACTCTTCTTCTGCCTCTTAGTAATTCCTCTCAGCTAGACTACTGTTGCTCCAACACCCCCAGGATCTCTATGTCCTCCTTGTTGATTTTAATTCCCTAGTTGTTGACGGGATCGGGTAACAGGCATCAGAAGACCAAAACAAACAAAACCATATTGCTGAGAATGAGGTGGGGGGTGGTAGTGTCGGGGCAGAGACCCCAAGCCCATCTGTAGACAATGGGACATCCCCTCACAGAAGGGTCACAAGGAAGGGATGAGTCAACCAGGGTGTAGTATAGCACCGATGAAACACACAATATTCCTCTGGTTCCTTGAGGCTTCCTCACCCCCCACTATCATGACCCCAGTCCTTCCTTTCACTGCAGGCTAGACCAGAGCATGTACACAGGTACAGATAAGAGATAAGAGCTCGAGAGAAAATGTTTTGAGAATGATGTACAAATGCGCTTTACACAATTGATGTGTGTATGGATTGCGATAACAGTTGTATGAGCCCCTAATAAAATGTTTTAAATAAATAAATAAGAGAGAGAGAGATAAGAGCTCATGACACATGGAATCCAGGAACAGGAATGGGTGTAGCAATACCAGGAGGGTAGGGGAAAGGTGGGGAGAGGAGGGGTGGAAGGGGGAACGGATCGAAATGATGGACACATAACCACCCCCAGGGGGCACAAACAACAGAAACTGTGGAGGAAGGGAGACAGCTGTTGGCAGAATCATAATAATTTATCATGAGGTCATGGAGGTGGGAGGGGGAGGGAGGGTAAAAAAAGAAGCACCAATAGAATGACACTGGGAGGGTCAACGGGGTCAATAGGGACCGTGCTCTTGAGGTAGCAACTGGAGACAGGAGGTCCCATAAACGAAAAGTTTCTTCAAGAATTGAGTTCAGGAGCTTTTGGTAGCAGTGTGGCCCTGATGCCCAGCCTGGGCAGTAGCTATCCTGCCTATACCAGCGGTTCTCAACCTGTGGGTCGTGACCCCTTTGAGCATGAGGAAGGTTGAGAACACTGTCCTAGACTCATAAAACCAAACTCACTACCATGGGTCATTTCTGCCTCACAGGACCCTATGGGGCAGCGTAGAACTGCCTTCATGAGTTTCCAAGACTGTAACTCTTTACAGACATTTGAAAGCCTCATCTTTCTCCAACTTGCAGTATTTCTCTGAGGTCGGGGAGACCTTGATCCTGGAGCGCAAGGTCAGGCTAACAGCTGCCATCTACAAAGGTGGACTCACAGTGCCCTCTAGTGGTCACAGTGTCAGCCTCCCCTCCACAGCCATAAAGGCCAAACGAAGCCCATTCTGACTCAATACCCCTATGCCATCGAGTTGATTCCAATTTACGGAGACCCAATGTCGGGTTTTGGAGGACGTAAATCTTTACAGAGGCAGACAGGCTCATATTTCTGGTGGGTTTGATCACAAACTTGGTGGTTAGTAAGCCCCCCACACACACACACACACAGGGCTGGCTCCGTCATGACCATCTCCTCTTTTTAAGGCCCAGATTGAATTCTTTTCAATGACCTTTCCTCTGCACAAGTACTCCCATCATGAAAAAGGGGTGGAGAAAGAAAGAAGTAAAAGGAATGCAAAATGTAACCTTCCTCAGTATTCCAGAAAAGATTATTAGACATGATACACATTTTATCGATACAGGTTTAAAACTAGCTAGGAGTCCTGGTGGCCTAGTGGTTACTTGCAGGGCTGTTTGAAACCACCAGCTAGCTGCTCCTTGGGAGAAAAACAGTACATTTTGCTCCCGTAAAGAGTCCAATCTCGAAAACACACAGGGGCGGTTCTACTCTGCCCTCTAGGGTCACTGTGAGTCGGTTTTCATAACGCCGCTGACAAGAAGCAGTGATGGCCAGAAGAAGCAAGGTGGGCAGACACCAGGGGACCCCAGGTAGCCAGAGGGAACACAAGGGGGCATTTTGGACAGAAATCAACCTTAGGGATGAGAACTGGGCATGGAAAGAGCAGGAACTTGGAGGAAGATCTTAGCGTCTGCCCCTCACCAGCTGTGAGGACCTGCACAAGTTCTTTTGCTCTACTGAGTCTGGGGCCACATTAAAGTAGCTCCTGCCGTGGTTCCCCTGAGAGGCAGCTGAGCCCGGTGGTCAGGAACAGACTTGAGCCAGACCGCCCTGGTGGACTCCCAGGACCACCACCCATTGCCCGGCCTGGGCAAGCAGTTTCACTTCTTCACCTCCCTCTCTGGAGGGACATTAGCAAAGCCTGGGAGGTCAAGGTTTCCATGAGTCACCACCCATAGAATGCCCGGAAGAGCAGCTGACACCGATCAAGCATTCAGTAACAGCCGGTTAATAATTCCCCACCTGGTTGAGGGGATTCCTACTCACAGTGACCCTGCTAGGAACCATCAAGCTGTCCCATAGGAGTTCCCAAAGTTGTGGTGGTACTGTTGGCTAAACATTGTACTGCTCGATAGAAATCAACAATTCAAACTCACCAGCCACCCTGCAGGAGAAAGATCCGTCAAGAAGTACAGCTTCAGAAAGCCTCTATCAGGTCAATAGGAGTCAGAATCAACCAGACAGTAATGGGTTTTCATCTTCACAGAAGCGGATGGCCACAGCCGGCCTCTCCTTTTTCCTGAGGAGTAACTAGTGGCTTTGAACCACTGACTTTTTGGTTAGCAGCCAAGTGCTTTGACCTCTGGCTACAAGGGTTCCTGACACATATGAAGTACCTAGAATAGAATCAGGCGTTCATTCCTTTTCCTCTTCTTGCATCGGGTTCTAGAAACGTGCATGTGTCCCCATCACATGGGAATAGGGGAGAGAGTGCGTGCAGTGGATTACATAGTCTGGCCCTTTTAGCCATGTAAGATCGTATGACTCTCACCCAGTGATTGGGTAGGACTATGCACATCGTGTTTGCAGTTCAGAGGGGAGTGGACAATCTGCTAATAACATAAATAAGGTGGATGGAATATGTGCAGGGGTGGGATCATGCAAATAGGGTATATGGAACTCTAAGGAGGGGATAGATCAATTTGGCCATCTTGCTAAGCTTAAAATGAGTCATCTAGAGGCAGAACCAAGTGGACCTCGCTACCATTGAGGAAGAAGAGCTGGAGGTAGAAAGTGTCTCCCAGACCTGGGATCTCTGGCTAAGAACTTCCCAGGCCCAGGAGTGAGTGAGCTGTGGTTGGTAAGAAGTGCAGTAAGCGTGGCAGAAACCAGCTGCAGAGACACAGCAGCAGCAGGACCAGAGACCGCTGCGGTGGGCATGCTGACCTACCGCTGACCTACCGAGGGAGGGAGCTCAGCATCTCCAGGCAGGAGGCTAGTTGGCAGAACTAAAGAGATGTAGAATGCTTGTCTGAGGGCATGGCTCCCCTTTCCTCCGAGGATCTCATCTCCAGTAACTCCGAGCCCTTGTAACCCAGTCCCCCTTAGCCTTCTACTGCTATCTGATTGGAGGAGGTGGGACAAGCGATTTCCCACAGGAAGATCGGATTCCTTTGGCCTGGGGTGAGGCCTGCACCTGGCCTCCTGACAGCCCCTCAGCAGTCCCCACAGGTGAAGCCCAGGCTTGCACTCAGGAACCATGCCCACCCAGTGTCTCACTGTTACCAAGGGGCCAGTCATTCGTCTTTGCTCAGTTAGCTATCTGTAACCAAGGCAGTTACGGTCACAAAGAACTTCTTTCAGGGTTGCGGCACCTGGCCAGGGTGGCCAGCGAGCCAGCACATCACACTGACTGCTGGGAGTTGTGACCTTATTGGTACCCAGCTCCTGGCTTTCAGAACAGCCCTGGGACGAAGTGGAATACACTCAGCTTAGAGCAGGCTCATGGCCCATGGAAAAGCAGCACACCACGAGTTTATATAAAAGCCTTTTATTTACTGTATTCCTTCTCCCCACCCCTCTTCAGGCCTGGGGCCCAGCCAGCTTCTATGGTTTCCTGCAGTCTGGTTCTTAATCATGAGGCCTTGGGGACATGGCTGAGGGGTGGTCTAAGAGGTGGGCATCTCCTCATCCCTGGGGCATGGAAGTTGAAGGAACCTTTCCTGCCTGGCTGCCACTTTTCAGGAAAAGTCCCTCAAGTCAGAAGGTCCACCCCCCAGTGGTGGATGTGAGGGAAGCTCACCATGGGTCTCTGTGTGGCCTCTCCTCCACACCAGGGCCAGCCTCTCCCTGGGCAGGGAGCCCAATGTAGGGGTTGGGTGAGGTGGGGGGGAGGGGACGCTGCAGCTCAGGGGCCTAACTCAACAAACGGGGCAGGGGAGCAGGTTGGCCTGGGCGAACTAAAGGAGGGAAGAAGAAGTCGTTGGACAGCCAGGGTGGGGTTCTGGCCTGGGGTAGGGAGGGTCAGCAGGGTACCTCTCCTGGAAGAGGAAGAAGGAACCCTGCCCCGACTAGACAAAGGGCTAATGACCCAATAAAACGACTTTTGGTCTGAGTGAGCCAGAAAGGGTCCCACTTAGTTCACCTGCCGGCCACCTGTCTAGCCAGCCCCGCAACCCACGGGGGTGGGGGTGCTGTCACCCCAGCTTCTGGTGCCTGCCCCACGGTGTAAGTTCGGCAGTTCAGGACCCGGCCAGAGACGAAGCTCCGAAGACCCAGCTGATGGGTCGAAGGTGGGCCACAGGGATGCCACTTGACCGGGTCCTACTGTCTCCTCTCTCTGCCTACGGGGCATTGGGTCCTCAGGGTCCCTGGAGACCCAGCTCCCCAGGAAGCGCTCGCAGCGTGGGGGCGCGCCTCCAGTAGCCTCGGCTCTGTCCAGTGTCAGGGAGGGCACTCCAGGCTCAGAAGTCCGAGTCCACGTCCATCAGCTCCGCCTCCATCAGGTTGGTGCGAGAGTGGATGGGCCCCAGCCCCTGCCCCTGCCCCTGCCGGCGGCCCTGAGCCCAGGCCCCCGGCGCTGGGGCGCTGGGCAGAAACGGGTCCTGGAGCTCCGGACAGAAGGGGTTGGCGACCAGGGTCCAGGTGCCCTGGCGGCAGGGCTCCCCGGCTCCCCAGGGTCCCGCAGCCACCAGGCATTTCTGGCGGGGCAACTGCGGCAGCCGAGGGACGGCGCTGGGGGCGTGGTCGGTCGCGGGGCGGGGCAGCTCGGTGGGCGGTCCCAGGGGACACACCTCCTTCTTCCTCTTCCTCCGCTTTTTCTTTCGCCCCAGGCGCTTCTCCAGCTCTGGCGAGATCTCGGCCTCCACCAGCCACAGGTTGGCCTGCTCCTCCGGGGGCACTGGCGGTGGGGGGAGGGGGCATGAGGCGGCGCCAGGGCTTTGCCCACCCACCCCACTCATGCTCAGACCCCCCACTCTTACTTCTGTGGCCCCCAACTCTAAACCTCCAAGGCCCCTCCTTTCCTCCCTTACAGAAACCCAAATCCCGGTACCTGGGGTGGCCACTGGGGTGACAGACACATCCTGGGGCAGGATGGCCCCTCTCCGAGCCACCATCTTGGTGACGTGCTGGGCCCAGGCGGAGGACACGTCTGCAGAGGGCTCGTTGAGGTCAAAGGCCAAGCCAGCTGGGGGGGCGTGGGAAGGACAGGCAGGGTAAGGGCACAGGTCCCTGGTGCCACCACCTCATCCTGCATGGCCGACCCTCCCACCCAGACTCGAACTGAAAGTTCACCCTGGAGCCCACTTTCTGAATCCCGAGAGAGAGCCAGAAATCCAGTCCTGAGCCTTGTCGGGAAGTGCCGCCGTGGAGGCCCGCCCTCCAAGCGTCAGGGTGGGCAGGAGGGGTGTCCATGATGAAGGGGCAGTGGGTTTCTGTTCTTGACTGTGTCGAGGCTGGCACTGAGTGCTGGTGGGTGGGGTGGGGGTACAGCGTGATTAAAGCACGAGGGTCACTACCTCGTGAGTACACTCGTCCTCCCACGCCGACTTGGCCAACGTGTGTGCTCACATGTAACAGCGATGAGACAAAAAGCCCAGCGGGCAGATCCAGGGGACGAAACAAAGGGACAAGTGGCCAGGGGACCCCAGAGGCCAGAAGGAGCGTGTGTGAGAAAGGAAAAGCAATGGGATCCGTTTCTAAGGCGTCCATCCCGCCTCATAGGCACCCTGTAGGTCAGTGCAGAACTGGCCCCGTGGCTTCAGAGGCTGACCGTCACCATGCTCGCTTCCCTCCGGGAGCTGCAGCTGAGCTTCGGCAGCCAGCCGGCCCTACTGGGTTGGCAGCCCCGGGCTTAACCCACCCCAGCACCGGAACCACCCGAGGAGGCAGGCCGAGGCTCACCCACTGGCCCGTCGTGGGAGACAGTATGCATGCTGAAGGACAGCTCCTGGCCAGGGTTCTGCAGCAGCTCGCGCCGCTTGGAAAAGGCCTTGGCGATCATTTTGCTCTTCTTGATCCGTTTGGGCTCGTCGTCGCTCTGCCTGGTCAGCCTGCGGGGAGGGAGGCGAGGGGAGGGGTGGTGGGGCAACAACCCTCCGGGGCCTCATGGATGCTGCGGGGCCAGGCCTCCTCTGCAGAGTGGGCCCGCAGCACTGGGCTTGCCCGGCTCATCCCTTCATTCAAATCCCTTCACCGCCAGCAGAGGCCAGAGCACTCGGCCCAGCGTGACACCAGGGGGCAGTGGTGAGCGGCAGGGAAAGGCTTTCGGAGGTTCAGCACAGTTTCTACCAGGGGACACTAGGGGACGCTGACGCTGCGCAAGTAGGGCGAGCCCTCTGAAGGGGCTGGCCGCTGAGCCCACCTGCACCAGGTGCGCCGCCAGATGAGCAGTGTGGCCTTGGTCCAGACCCAGGTGCTCATGGCGATTCCGGTGCCAAACATGGCGAAGAGGTTGATCTTCTCCACCAGGAGGCTTGGGCGGTTCTTGATCTCACAGTCGGGAATGGGCTTCTTGGTGGGCAGCCCAATGGTCACGTTGGCCTGGCACCTGTGGTGAGGGTCAGACGGGCAGACAAGGCTTTCAGGTCTCCTGGGGAGGTACCCTGACCATCCAGCCTTCCTAAAGAGCTGGGATAATGGGCATGAATTCTCATCCCTGTCTGGTCCCTGGAATCACCTGGGAACTTTGAAGGAACTCCTGGCATCTGGGCCCCATCCCAGGGACTGAGAATCTCCAGGAAGCACCCACTATTTTTACAAGCTTTGCACATGAGTGAGATGGTGCACAGCCAAGCTAAAGACCCACTGCTTTGCAGTCCGGGACCGCGGAGAGCGAACAGGAGGAGGCCCACCGGTCACTTTCAATAAGTGCTATCCTGAAGTCCTTTGGTGATGCAAGTGGTTAAGCGCTCCTTCACAACCTGGAAGGCTGGTGCATTGAACACACTCCATGGTGCCTTGAAGAAAGGCCCAGCAGTGTTGCTCTCAAAAAGTCACGACCTTAAAAACTGTGCAGCACAGTTCTGCTCTGCACACGTGGGGTCACCGTGAGGCGGGTCAACCGCACTATTGCAGCAGGCTGAATTGCTGTTCATGGGAACACCAGGCGCCTTCCGCGCTCAGACTCGCTGTCACCGGGACACAACGGAGTGGAATCAAAGCCAGCACACAAGACTCACTGTGAGCTGTGGGAGAGAGGCCATGCCTCCCGTGCAGGGATCTACACTAGACCCTGTAAAACAGTGGTTCTCAGCCTCCCTTTAATACAGTTCCTCGTGTGGTGGTGACCCCCAATCATCAAATTATTTTCATTGCTACTTCATCACTGTCATTTTGCTACTGTTATGAATTGGGAGACCCCTGTGAAAGGGTTGTTTGACCCCCAAAGGGGTCGAGACCCACAGGTTGAGAACCGCTGCTGTAAAGAACACCTACGAATGACCCCACCGAAAGCAACACTGCGGGCCACAGAGAGCTGGCCAGGGAAGCTCCAACAGGAATGGCCACGTGGCTTGCAGAGGGAAGTGTGGAGGGGAGCAGACACGCGGAGGCTGCCTGCCACGTTTGGCAAGTTACAGCGCCAATGATGTCTTGGGCACTGGGAGGAAGACAGCCAGGTGGCTGAGTGGTTCCTGCGGCCCATGGAGGAGGGGCTCTCACTCACAGCACGTAATCCCGGAAGCTGCGCTCCCACTCCGCCTGGTTGAAGAAGTCGTAGAAATGACAGCTGAAGGTGATGAGCACAAAGCCAAAGGCCAGGAAGCCAAAAATGCCTGTGAACGACAAAAGCCATTTCTCCAGGAGACGCGGACAGACGAGGTGCTTCTTTCAAGTCCAGCCCGGAGGACTCCGCACCAAACTCTTGTTCATTCAGCAATCAGACACTTTCTGTGTAAGGAGTCAGGAGCCCGGGGGGTGTAGTGGTTTTATGTTGGGCTGCAAACTGCAAGGTCAACAGTTCAAAACCAGCAGCTGCTCTGCCAGAGAAAGAGGAGGTTTTCTAATCCCATGAAGAGTTACAGTGTCGGAAACCCACAGGAGGTGCTCCCGTTTCAAAGGGTTGTGATGAGTCAGACTCAACTCAGTGACCGTGAGTTTGGTTTGGGGTTTGTGTAAGGGCTAAGGAGCCCTGATGGCCCAGAGGTTAAGCACTTGGTTTTAATGGAAAGATCAGCAGTTCTGTGACAATTAGGTTTTTTTGTGCCAATACAGCACCTTTCAGGAGATATGGGTGGAGTTTAGTCTGTCAATCAGGTCGCAGCTTGATAACCTCATTTGGAGGTGCCCCTGAGATAGCTCTCTGGAGGCGGGCCACTCTCTCTCCTTCACTGTCCTGCTGGTGAGCCATCCTGAGACCTGCAGGAGTCCTGTGATGTTTCCACCACTATTGGATCCACGAGACTTTGCAACCACCGGCCTGTGATCTTCCTGCATTCTGCGTCATTGCATGTGACTGTATGAGTCTGAAGAGGGACTTATGGACCAGTATCAGACTGAAGGACTTGAGTTGGACTGGGCTGGGACATTTTCACCATATAAAATTACTCTTTGATATAAAGCTCTTTCTTATACATATATGAGTGTCTCTGGATTTGTTTCTCTAGTCAACCCTGCCTAACACAAGTTGCAACCCACCAGTTGCTGCAGATGTGACTGACTGCTTATGCGAAGATTTACAGCCCTGGAAACCCTCTGGAGGGCTTCGACTCTGTCCTTTCAAGTCGCTATGACTCACAGGCAACAGGGTGTGTCAAGCATGGAGTCCCTGGATGGTGCAAATGCCGAAGCTCTGGGTTACTAGCCAAAGGGCTGGCATTTTGAAGCTACTGGAAAGGGCCTCAGAAGAAAGGCCTGGCTTCCTACTTTTGAAAGATCGCAGCTCTGGACAGGCCAACGGAGCACAGTTGTACTTTGAAACATCGTCCTGGGGTCACCCTGAGATGGAATCTAATCAACAGTAACCGTGGATCAAGTGAAGGAGCCCTGGAGGCTCAGCAGGGAATTGCTCAGCTGCTTCCTAAAAGTTTGAACCCACCAGTCACTCTGTGGGGGAAAGATGTGGCAGTCGGCTTCCATAACGATGACAGCTCTCCATAGGTTGTCATGAGTAGGAATTGATTCAATGGCAGTGTGTGTGTGTGTGTGTGTGTGTGTATACACCTAGCAGTGTGTATAGCGCAAGACAAGGAACCACCAATGGCCTTATCTTCTGTTATCTGGAAGCGTTATACTCAATCAAAGGGGTCCTGGTGGCAAAGTGAATGGGGCTACTAACTGCAAGGTCACCAGTTTGAACCCACCAACAGGTACGGTGGGGAAAGATGAGGCTTTCTGCTCCTGTAAAGATTGACCGTCTCAGAAACCCACAGGGCAGTTCTCCATCCTACAGGGCTGCCATACATCAGAATAGACTCGAGGGCCCGTGGGTTTGGTTTGAGTTTCTATGATAAGTCAGAAGGTCTGTGTGCTTCCTCAGAGTCCTTTGCCTTTCAATAACTTTTTTTTTAACTACAAAAAGCATACATGTTCTGTGTATGAAGCCAAAAAAAAATTTTTTTTAATACAGTAGAGTGGATTCCAACTCATAGCAACACCATAAGATAGGGTAGAACTGTCCCTGTGGGTTCCTAAGACTCTGTTTATGGGAATAGAAAGCTTCTTTGTTCTCCCTCAGGGTGGCTGGTGATTTTGAACTGCTGACCTTGCAGTTAGCAGGCGTAACAGATGTAACCACTCACAATGGGCTTCTCAAGCACCCAATCTCTCCATGGATAATTTAGCATGTCTCCTTTTCTCTCTGCTCAAACAAGTGCTTGTAAAGAGAGTAACGGGCTTACTGGACGTTAATGAGCTCATTCAAGAAACACTAACCCTACAACTGCTTTTCTTCCCCAATGTTGGAAAACACGTGGCTGTGGAAGGCCGTGGCAGGAGGTTACTGAGCACCCCAGGGATCGGAGTAGCCGTGGGGAGGAGAGTGTCAGCCCCACGGGGCCCCCAAAGGCAGCTGAGGCAGGAGAGGACTCATGCTGAGCTGCACTGGCCACAGTAAGACAGGAAGGGGAGAGGGATGTGGGTATGAACAGGAACCCCAGCATTTATCTACCTGAAAAAAAAACGCTCTTCTCCTGAGCGGCCACGGACACCAGCGCACACACACATTCACATGTGCCTGCATCAGGCCCATGTTTCCATGACTGCTGTCCCCACTGAGCCCTGCAGTGGGCGGCTTGTGAGCCCGTCCCCTTGCTCACCCAGGCGCAGCATGGTCTCGTTGATCTTGCTCGCAGCCTTCTCACTCAGCAGCCCAGGGTGGTTGCTCTTGATGGAGAACAGAGTCATGACTCCTGGACAGAGCGAGACCCCAGACGTTAGCAGGGGGCGAGGCCACACACCAAGGGGCATGGCTGGGCTAGGGCACAGGGTCCCCCGGGCCTGGAGCAATGGAGAGCCAGCTGGTGGTCAGCCATGAACTGGACAGTCAGTCGAGAAGAGTGAGGGAGATTCAGTCCCCATCTTGCCACTCCAAAGACAGCCTTGAGGTCAAAGCTGTACTGATGGAAAAGGCATGACATGGACCAGAGAACGGCGCCACCTGCTGGGATTCCATGAGCCACACAGAGTAGCTCACATGTTCCCGTTTTTTTAAAAAGACATCTGTTCCGAGTGAAACAAATCTTAATGTATTTTATAAACGCAATAAATCCAACCCGTTGTCATTGCAACGTGTGATCGGGATGACAACTTTATGGGCAACTTGACATCCTAGTTCTGGTGCGGAGCCTCTGAGGAGTCCCGGGTGTTTACAGACAGACAGACAGCTCAGTGAGCGGATCAGTTTCCCTGTGGGGAGTCAAGGGCTGGGCTGGGGTGAGGTGGGGGGTGGCACAAAACAGATGCTACTGAGAGGAACAAGAGATGGCTGGCCAGAAAGGTGACTGAAAGTACCAGGTGTGGAAAAGGAAGTTTAGAAACCAACCTCCCACAGAGATGGGCTCTGTGGGACCAGAGGCGTATGGTGGAGCCTGGTGGCAGGAGAGGGACACCGGGGGACAGGAAGCCTGTGTGTGCGCGTGTTGGAGGTGAGCAATGGCCAGGCTTGGAGTCCACAAGCACCTCACGTGACTGAGCTCAGCCCCACAGCGCTTCGCAGCTGGTGGGGTTTCTATGACCCTGCGTCCAGCAAATCCGTGGGCGCACATTGTCCAACAGCGTATGCTCATTTTGTGTCTCGACGCCACATTTTGACCATTCTCACAACGTTCCAAAGCTCTCCATCCCACATGGTGACTCGACTGCTGGAGAGTGTCAACATAACTTGTCTTTAAACTGGGAAGAAACCGGAACTTGACTATCTTGTTTGCTTCATTGGGATGGTCTGGAATTGAACCCCCATTGTCTCTGAGGTCTGCTTGTACACACACACACACACACACACACACACACACACACACACACACGACCATAAGCTGGACTGTGCGGGGTAGGTGGGGGGGGCTCCACAAAAGAGCACTTGGCTAAGGGGTGGCCCAGGCAGGAACCCACCCGAGCTCCACTCACTGAGCCTCCAGCCTTGAGACCGGCTCTGAGGTCAGGGGGGCAGCGGTCAGGTGGTCTCTGGCCAGCGCCTGGAGCCCTTGCCCCACTTACAACAGCAGGTGCTCTGTGCATTCTGATGGCCCCCCAGGCCTGGCCTGGTGTCCGCTCACCTCGGATGAGGAAGTAGCCGCCCACAATGAGCACCAGGCCGATGGGGGCCAGCACGAAGCCAGCGCGGTACCGGTAGTTCTTGTAGCCCACGAAACAGATGCCGCTCACCGAGTCCCCATCCACCTGCAGCAGGAAGCAGGAGGGCAGAGGTGGGTGGCCACTGGGCCCGTGGTGCCCAAGCCCATCCCGCTCAGGCCCCGGCCCCTCCCAGGGACTCACCTGGGCCAAGGCAAGGATGGCCACGGTCAGCACAAAGGGCAGTGACCACGTGAGCAGGTGGAAGTAGGAGGTCTTGCCTGACAGAGGCTGGTAGGTGGTGCCCAGGGCTTTGAAGGAGGTGTGCCAGGCATAGGTGAGGACCACAAACCAGACCACACCGGCCATCAGCGCGTAGTAGACAATGACAAAGATGATGACGCAGGACAGGGTCTCGTTGGAGCTGCGCAGACGGGTGGGAAGGTGTAATCCGGGGAGGTCATTCTGGACTCCTCCCCCTCCCCCTGTACCAGGCTCCCCTATCCTGTCCCCAGATCCTTGGATTCTAAGGTCTGGGGTCCCCTAGGAGACAGGACCCAGGTCAGCAGGTCAGAATGAAGAGGACTCAGAAGGGGTCCTTCTGAACAAATCACTGAAACCCAGATGCTTGGGGAGACTTTGGGGGTGGAGAGGCTGAGTAGAATCCTACACGGGGCTCAGAGACAGGCCACCTCCTGTGGTAAACCCACATCGCAGCCCTTCCCTCCTCCCCCTCCTGCCCTTCCCCCCGGGTCCCCCAAGACACCTACGTGGGCTCCCCAAGCCTCATGGTGCCATCTGCCCGGCAGACAATCTCCCGACGGGCCCCGTCCATGAACTGGGCCAGCCAGCCAATGCTGCCCACGAAGAAGCAGGCATTGACGTAGAAGAGAATCACGGCGGGGTAGCGATTTGAATTCCTCCAGTCGGCGACAAATGTGGCCTAGAGAGAGAAGTGGGGCCTGCCCGGTGAGGCTGAGCTGCCACCGCTGCCTCAGCTGCCTTACGCTGACTCCCCCAAACCAAATCACCCAACCGGGGCTGAGTAACACCCCCTGCGCGCGGCAACCCATGGGTCTAATTGTGTTCCAGGAGAATTTCCACGGCTGTGACATTTCAGAAGGAGCCCTCCTGGAGGCCTGGTTCTGAGTTGAGCTTCAATCTGGAAGGTCAGCATTTGTAAATTGCCAGCCGCACGAGTGACCGTCTCAGAAACTCTCAGGGGGGCAGTGCTGCCCTGTCTTACAGGGTCACTGTGAGTCGGCATCAGCTCGATGGCAGTGAGTTTGTTTTTCTCTCTCTTTGGTGACCTTTTGGAAGCAGGTCACCCAGCTTGGATTCCAAGGCCATCACTGTAGCTCCGAGGATTCAAACCACTAACCCTTCTATTAGGAGCCTGGTGTTTAGCCCTTGATGCCACCCACCTCCACCAGGAACTCCCAGACTCCCCTTCCCTGGGAACCACCCCCAGACCCCGCCTCTCTCTCTCTGACAGCCAGGCCCCCACTGACCAGGGTGAAGAGCGTGCAGAGGCCCGTGACGGCACCGAAGCCGGCGATGTAGCTGTGCATGTCCTGGTGCTCGTCCTCCGTGAAAAGAGGGTTCTGGCACCGGATGCCGCAGCCCTCCACGTCCTCGTACCAGCTCTTGGGGTTGTCCGTGCGAACCAGCGGCGCCTCGCACTGGCCCGAGCTGTTGAACTTGATGTTCTGTACCTCGTTCTGCCAGCGGAGCAAGGGGAGGAGGCTCAGGGCGAGAGCTTCAGGAGTCCCCGGCTTCCTTCCGGGCTGGAAGCCCCAGCCCTGCCACGTAGTGGCCAGGTAGCCTTGGGCAGACGATGTGGCCTCTGTGAACCTCCGTTTCTTTCCCCACCTAGAACCGTGCCTGGGTGGTGGTGGCATTTAGGTAAGGGCTGCACCACTGTGAGAGGCTTGTAAGAGCCTGTGGTGATACTAGCCCATGTTATCTCCACCATCATGACGGTGCTAACTGTCAACATAGTCTGTCTCACGTCTCTCGCCACTGGGTACCGGTGTGCCTTGCTTCCTGAGAGTGAGACAGGCCTCCCAGGAACCTGGCATTCAGGACTGCCATAACTCCCCATACCTACCACATCGAGTGGCCCAAAGATCTAGGTGAACGCAAGTCATTCTTAAGAAATAAGCAGTTAATCCCCGGCTGACTGACCCAGCCCACGAGCTACCGTCAGGTTTGTGGTCTGTGGACCCTTGGCCCTGCCCGGAGCACTCACCGGGCAGCCTTCGGGGAAGTGGTCGGGGGTGCAGCGCAGGAAGTCGGGCCAGCCCCGCTCCCGCTCCACAATGGCGCAGGGGCCGCGGGTGGCCTGGCAGAGGGTGCGGCTGGGCAGTTCCACGCGGTCATTCTCGCACTTGGGCATGTACACAGCGCACAGCAGCGGCTGGATCACTGCCCAGCAGCGAGGGGCATTGCGGAGGCCTGCAGAGGGTAACAGCACGGACACACCGTGGTGAAGACCCTTCCCAACTCTGACCAGGCACCGCCACCCAAGCCCGAGCCCTGTCCCCCAGACTCCAGGCATCTCTCCGCTACACCATCAAAGCTGTCGGGCAATGGCGCTGCTCAGCAGGACACTTGGGGTGGCCCCATCTTTGGGCTGTGGGGCAAGGTGTCCCTTCACCAGAACCAGGGTTCCCCATGCCCAGACCCCCAGGCCCTTTGTTCTTACCGCACCGAGATGAGACAGAGGAGAGGTGGGAGCTTAGGAAGAGGTAGTCAGAGGAGCAGGTACGCCCAAGCCAGAAGAGGAAACAGGAAATCAGATGGAGAGAGACAGAGCAGGCTCTGTGCGGCGCAGAGGGAGGAAAGGCGTGGTCAGCAAGGCGGAAATGGGCCAAGGCTCCTGGCCTTCCAAACCCTCACCCCATCCCACCCCCTGCCCCCCGCACCTCCACCCTGCTTGGCCCAGGAGCTCCGTCAATCATCCTTGCTCCAAGAACACCCATCTCCCAAGCAGGAGGTTGTATCCGGAGAAGCGTCTGAGAAAGTGCTGCCCACACGCGTACCTGTCCCGTGGCCAGGCTGGGGGCAGGTAACAGAGAAGGGCCTTCTATCAAGATGACAACCTTAGAAGCAGTTCCACCCTGTCCTCTAGAGTGGAGGCGAGTGGGGATCAACTCCACCACACACGACCCCCCCAGATAAGGAAGGAGCCAGGGGACATACTGGTTAAGTGCTTGGCTAACTGAAAGGTGCGTGGTCTCAACCCACTGGCATGGGGAAGACCCGACGGCCTGCCTGTGGTGGGCAGCACTCTGCCACCTGCCCCTGTGGCTATGAATCCAAAAGATAGTGAGGCAGCACCTGACCGCAGCCACGGAGACCGCAGGCAGCTTGTCTCCGTCCTAGTCTTGACTCTACCTAATCTCAACCCCCAGCCTCAGTTTCCTCAGCTGTCAAGGGGGGCGGGGATGACGGATTTGCCTCCTGGCATGGGGGGGAATATTGATAGTACATTTGGTGTCGCCGTCATCAAGTCAGCGGGCCTGCTCCTCTCACGGCCAGCCCCACAGAGAGAAAGTTTCCACCAGAAGAAACCATCTCGGGCCACGCTTCTCACACCAGCCTCAAGTCAGAATCACCTGGTGAACTCCTATCTCGCCAGATTTTCTGCCCGGAGTTGGTGGTCAGAGGACTGCCTGCAAAAGAGGCAGCACGGGGAAGAGGTGGGGTGACGAGACACTGTCCGGTCTTGATTGTGGTGGCCAGTTTTACATGTCTATTGATTGAGCCAGGAGCCCTGGAGGAGCAGAGGTTAAGCAGCTTGGCTGCTAAGCCAAAGGTCAGCGATTCAAATCCACCAGCCCGTTCCTTAATAGAAGGAAGCGGCAGACTGTTTCTGGAAAACCTTGCTGTGGAGGGCAGTGGGAGTCCAAGACCCATCTGCAGAGCATCTGGTCAGACTAAGCCACTGGCAGATCCCCTCTAGCCATGGGCAAGGGTCTGCAACAGCTTGGCTATCAGACACAGATCATGGTCATCCTGATTAGGCTGGATCAAACTTGATCCTTGGCCAGTTGACCTCCCTCTGGACCCAACCTGAATGTATTCTAGGTGCAAGGATCTCTTGCTTGTCCATGACAAAAATTCCTTCCCTGGCTTTTAAAATATGAATGGAAGTCTTTTCTTTTTTGTTCATTGTTGGTATTTTTAATTTTTAAAATTTTTTATCCCCCCCCCCAAATTTTTTTTTTATCCCTACCACCTCTTTTAATTTTTGTTCTTTGTTATTTTTGTTGGGTTTCCCAGTTTGTGAAGCACAGAAGGAGTGGAGGCATAGAGACAATAACTGATGTAAGGGTGTACAGGGGATGCAGGGGTGGGTAGTGGGGAGAAGGGGAGGGTGAGGGGATACAGGGGGCGGGGAAAGGAGTATTAGAACTGAATGTGATTACACAACTCATTTTAAAGGTGATTTAATCATGGGGGGAGAAAATGTTTTGTTTTGTTTTAATCATTTTTTTGGGGGGCTCATACAATTCTTATCACAATCCATACATACAACCATTGTGTCAAGCAGAGAAAATGTTTTAAAATTGCGGCAATAGTTATACAATTCTTCTTGACATGCTTGAACGACTGAATTGTATGCTGTGGATTATGTGCCAATTAACCTGAAGAAAAAAGAAAAAAAAGATTGTAGCTGTGGAATGGGGCAGGTCTACCCTGTTCTGTGGGGTCACAACGAGTTGAACTGCCTCTGCTGCATACAACATGCATGCATCAGAACTCATAGAACTCTACAACCTACAAAGTGAACTTTACTGCATGAGGATTAAAGGATGAATTTTAAACCGGGGGGAGGGGAGTTCCCTGGAGTAAAATATATCAATTAACTAATAGTATTCTGCTTTTCTGGATTCTGTGAGCACACTGCCCTCAAGTAGAATCCAACTCAGAGAGCCTAGAGCAGGGGTTCTCAACCTTCCTCATGCCGTGACCCTCTCACACAGTTCCTCATGTGGTGGTGACCCCAACCATCACATTATTTTCGTTGCTACTTCATCACTGTAATTTTGCTACTGTGATGAATCATCATGTAAATATCTGCTATGCAGGATGTGTTTTCATTGTTACAAATTAAACATAATTAAAGCATAGTGATTAATCACAAAAACAATATGTAATTATAGATTGTGAAATATTTATTCCTAATTACAAATAAATGAAAGTTTGTCTTGAAGCGTGGCGTAGTATGGGTAACAGTCTTCATACCAGGTACTCGTATGTGGGCGTATCTGCATGTGGGGAGGCCTGCCTGGAGACCGATAGAGGAGCAGTGTCTCGGTTCCTAAGACCATTGGAAACGTGTTTTCTGATGGTCTTAGGCGACCCCTGTGAAAGGGTCGTTTGACCCCCAAAGGGGTCTCGACTCGGGTTGAGAACCGCTGCCCTATAGGATTGTGTAACGGCCCTGTGGGTTTCCAGGGCTGTAAATCTTTATGGGAGCAGAAAAACCTCATTTTTCTCCATCAGGGTGGGTGGTAGATTCCAGCCACTGACCTTGGGGTTAGCAGCCCTACGGGGAAACCCCTACTCCAGGAGGATTTTTGTGATATTTGTGGTAACTATCAACCTTTAAAAATATGAACTTTGTTTTTAAGCGAAGTAGTCTATTTTAAACTTAAAAACTCCCTGAAAAAAGATAGTTAAATAAATATTAAAGGGTTTTTGGAGGCCATCTAGTAAAAAAAATTAAGTAGGCTCCTTACCCCTTCATTATATTGAAATAAATTCTGGAACGATCAAAATCGGAATATTTTTAAAAATAAATATTAAAATACTAGATGGCAGCATGGGAAATGATGTTTGGATTTTGGCCTGGAAAGGGGTCTTTGATAAATGCCGGAAAAACCAGACGCCCTGAAATAAAAGGCTTAAAATTCAGAAAAATAGACAAATTCAGTCAGGCGAAACCAAACCAGATCATAAAGCAACAAACAGGAAATAAACTTCTAATCCCTTTTGGAGCCGAAGTCCGTCTGTGCACCAAGCCCCTCCAAGTCAGTAAGAACCACAGCTCGAACTGAAGGGTCCAACCCACCCACGAGCTCCACAGAAGAGAGGATCTTTCCACAAAGCTTACCGCCTAGAAACCCTAGGGGCAGGGCTACTCACTCACATGGGCAGGCCAAGAGTCAGAACGGACGGGGCAGCACCCACCAACAGGACAGGTCACATGGAAGCAAAACCAATGGTCTTCCAGCTCAAAAAGAGATGCTCACCATCACTTAGGAAGAGAGAAATATGCCACAAACCACACAAGACACCAGTTTGCACTGTCAGAGTTGTTAGGGAGCATCGTGGTAGAGCCGACCTGCAGAGACCCCGTGGAGAACCGGAGACACGGCCGGTCCTGAGCCATCCTCACAAGTGTTCCTAAGCTTGCGCTTATGGTTGCTGCAGCCACGGCGTCAATCCATCTCAATGAGGGTCTCCCTCTTTTTCACTGCCAACTGTAGAGTGGTACGGATAAAAATACTGTATTGACAAGAGTTTGAAAGAACTGGCATGCTTATAGATTATTGGTGGAAATAAAAACGAGTAATATTCATGACTATTCAATATATTGAATAATATCCAATACACTGAATGATAATATTATTCAGTAATATTATTCATATGAATAATACTATTCATTGGTGAAGAATATTTGGCATTACCCATCAAAATTTGAAAGATGCTATAAGCAAGGTATTGAACGATGCAGGCGGCATCAAGGGAAGATGGAATGAATATACAGAATCCCTGCGCCCAAAAGAACTAGTTGGCAATCTCCCATTTCAGGAGGGAGCGTATGAGCAAGAACTTGTGGTGCTGAAGGAAGAAGTCCACACTGCATTGAATACATTAGCTGAAAACAAGGCTCCGGGAATTGATGGGATACCCGTCGAAATGTTTCAGGAAGCTGAAGAAGCCCTGGAAGCACTCACTCGTCTATGCCAGGAAATTTCGAGGGCAGCTACTTGGCCAACTAACTGGAAGAGATCCATCCAGATTGGTGCCCATTCCAAAGAAAGGTGACCCAACAGAATGCTCAAGTTCTAGAACGATATCATTGGTACTGTACACAAGTAAATTTTTGGTTAAGATCCCCCAACAACGGTTGCAGCAGTCCATTGACAGGGCTCTGCCAGAGGTTCAGGCAGGATTCAGAAGAGGCCATGGGTCAAGGGATATCACTGCTGATGTCAGATGGATCTTGGCTCAAGGCAGAGAATACTAGAAAGATGTCTACTTGGTTTTTATTGACTATGCCAAGGCATTTGACTGTGTGGACCATAATGAACTGTGGGTAACCTTGAGAAGAATGGGAATTCCAGAACACTTGATTGTGCTCATTCGGAACTTGTACATGGATCAAGAGGCAGTTGTGTGAAGAGAACAAGGGAATGGATTAAACAGCCTGGCTTAAAATC